TCTGGGAAAGTGAAAAAGAAATTGTCCATTCCATAACATAGGGATTCTGGTTGAAAATATTTGCATTCAATCCAGCTCTAGCTCTCTCAGTCTTTTTGTCCAGCACTGTCTTGTAAGAATCAACCATAGTCTGCACCCTTGAGATAGTGTGAATGACAATGAGTATTCTCTGAAAGAAATCCTAGAATCTCTAGTTGTTATAACACCAAAGGAAAAAGAGGATTTCTGAAGCCTGGATGTGGGATTATTAAAAATTTCTTTGTTGGGGCTGGGGTTGTGGATCAGCATGTGCAGGGCCCTGGGTTTGATTCTCAGCACCACATACAAATAAATAAATAACTATTGTGTTCAACTACAACTAAAAAATAAATACCTAAAAAAACCACAAAACAAAACAAAAAAAGAAACACATTTCTTTATTGATTTTAAATGTGCAGTCCAAGTATAAATATTAATCCAGATCAAACCTAATTGACTTTAAGGTAGTCATGCCTTACATAGTTGCATTATTTTTCTCAGAGCACCTAACACACAACTATCCATATATTTTTTCTGAGATTCATTCATTTTCATGATTCACATTCAGTCTGAGAATTCTCTTAGGAAAAAATATAAAGATATAAGAAGTGAAAAGAAATTACAGGTAAAATTAACATGTAAATGATATGTTATATCACTTTCACTAATTCTAATGTATCATGATTCTTAAAACACAATTATAAATAGATAAGATTCATGAATCAATTATTTAAATTACCCATTTATACATGATATAAAATCAAACATTTTTGTGCAAATAAATACTCTATATCTGATATTAGTAATATATAAGTTGTCAGGAAGGTAACTAGTTCTCTAACACCTGGTACCCATAGTGTGTGCTATGAACCAGTAAAACTGAACACGAGCTGGTAAGAAATGCAGACTCTCAAACCCCACTCAGATCCGTGGGATCACAATCCGTATTTTAACATAGATGTCCTTGTGCTCAAATCATTGCCACTAATTATTAAGTTTAGACCTGAAAAAGAAAATTAAGCAACCAGGGAAATGTCAATGTTAATTGCTTTTTATTCCCCAAAGTATGATCCCTGAGAAATGGAAATCCTTAAGAGTGTGTGCTTTGTGTTATTTGGTAACTGGCATAGGTAAATCAAGGAATAATCTTCAGAGACAACAACCAGAACTGCTCCGGGGATGTGAAGTTGAGGATGAAGTGAAACAAACTGAAAAGTAAGTTTTGAGACACAGACTAATGATGCAAACCAATAACAAACATAACTCTGAGACTGAGGACTAGGCCCTACCCTCTTAACACCGAAGACTGCATAATGCTGGATACCTAGCCAGCATTAGTGTGCTTTTTAAGCAGTAAATACAATTTGGCATTGAGGCTTCAAACAGAAGAAAGGTGAGCATTTTCATCCCACACCTGTGATTTGAAACTATTAGGTCTGGAAGTAATCACTGAAAATTCAGGCACTGTGAAAATAAATTTATTTATTCAATTTTTTAAAAGGCATTTTTTTAAAAAAACTCCCACACTATGCCAGCCATTTTGGTAGTTCTTAGGATACAGAGAATAGGTTTGGTCCAGCACCTGACTTATAGCAAGGTTCAGAGTCTAAAAGGAAGGAATTTAGATATTTATTTCTGAGTCTGGAATAGGAAGTTCCACTCAGTTACAAGGAACTGGAGCATTTTTCCATGATGACATTAATTTTAAATGTTATTTGAAAAGAAGAAAATGTTTACTGTCAGTGGGGAAGGTGCTGGTAAGACTGTGTCATGAAAAAGAAATAGTGAATAAAATGTTAAATAGCTGAATGAAGGTGACTTATTCTAGGAACTGAAAGAAATAAAATGTTTCTGTGTAGCCAAAAAGTATGGCAGGAACTGAAAGGAGAGGGGACAAGAGATACTATGAATCTGTGGGCTTTATCGTAAGAGCAATTTTGGAGTATTTTTCTGGATGTTCCAGAAACTGGACCATCATCTGGTTTTGATCAAGTGTATCTTAGGTCTAGAATTAAGTAGCTCATTCCATTTCTAAGAACTCAAATGTTGAAATAGTTTCTTTATATTAAATAAAGGATGTGTCCTTAAATCTTTCAAACAGCATACAAGTAATATTTTCTTTCCTTTTGTTTATATTAGGATATTTGAAAATTCCTACTAATTATCCCCTTGCCTTCAAACATTTTCTAAGCTCTTAATAGCTATTTTTTGTGTGTGTGGCTTCCATCTTATCGATGTACCTCCTTGAAAGACGTCCATAACTGAACCAGAAACCCCAGATATGATATGAACAGCGTAGACCAGTGATTCCTAACCCCCCAAACACATGGAAAGTGGTGATCTTAATGTGGCATACCATAATAAGTGGATAAGACAGTTGTGTTTGACAGAAAGCAGCCAAGAAACCACAGGCTCATCCACTACACATGAGAAACAAGGACAAAAACCTCAGTGCCATTTGGAACTGTTTTTGATATTACAATTCCATGGCACTTGAGTTAGAATTTATATTACACATCTTATTTGAATTTTAGCCATCAGTATATAGCATTGTATCTTTACAAATTAAATATAAACCTCTCATTGATTTATCTACTGTCCATGGTTCCATGGAGTTAATTACATTAATAAGGAATTCTGAATTTTTTATATGAATTGCATTAAATCTGATATCCCATATGTGAAGAATTCATTTTTTAAACTAAGATTAGAATTTAATATATATATATATATATATATATATATATTCCTTGCTAGATTTTAATCTCATTTATTTTAAGTATTTTCAACATATGTGTGTACATTCTCCTGTTTTGTTATTATCCTACAGCATTGACTAGTACAGTAACTTGAGAGTACTAATGACCACAGGGAGTTCACTATACCATGGGGGTTTGACTCACAGAAAGAAAACTTTACCGTTTTAATTTCATAAAAACTCTTTCCAACTGCACTCCGTACCATGATGACTACAATTCATTAGAATTGTAAAGAAGAGAATAGAATAAAAACATTTGATAGTCATGGTGTTCAGTGACCTAATCTCATGCCTAGGTTTTACATAATTTAGGACCACACTTAACTAGCTTTGATACAAGTATTAATAACTAAGATTATATATAATATATAGTCATGCATTTTTAAAATTTGACCTCATGATCACAGGGAACCATAATTTGCTTCAAAGGCAAAGGTATTTTTCAGTCTCATATTCATCCTTGGCAGATTAAAATAAATAAATAAATAATAGAAAATATCATTTTAAATGATTACAAAATTTCAAATGCATTTAACTGCATAATTTTGAATTAGGGAGAGCATTCAAAAATTTAATGTCTCTCTTACTTCACTCCAGTTTGATTGCCACATTATATACCTCACTATGGTGAACTCTAGCATAACATTTTTCTAATTCTTAACACAATGCAATTGAGATGTATTAACAATCAATTCAACTATTAGTTGTATTGCATATACTTCCAGATTTATTTCATCTATAAATTTGGTGACCACAGATTAACATCTCAATTGTAATTAAAACCTGGAAACTGTATTAAGGATGAGTTCTAATTTTTCCCAAACTCAACTAATCATCAGAATTACTTTGATAGTTTTGTGGAGGTTTGCTGTTTTATTTTTGTAATTTTTTTTAAAAAAGTTCTGATTTTAAACCCCTCCTGAAAGATTCTAATTCATAAAATCTGATACAGGGTTAAGAGATCTAAATTAAACAAACCAACACAGTTTCTCCAGATGTGTTGAGAAAAATGTGCAACCTGATGAATAAAGAATTTTGAGAATATTTTAACAGTCCTATCTGCATATCTAAAATTAAAAACAACTGTCAAATATCACAATGAGAGATAAAGTAGTGGCATTGGTTAATTAAAGTCATCGTACCTATAACAGGGAAGGTTGGTATAATGTTCAAAGTTTATAATTCCTGAAATAGTAACATGAGCAAGATTTTTGGAGCTGTACAGATAACCTTCAGAAAATTAAAAACAAAATGTTTATTGGAGCTATTCTACAAAGAGTAAGTTTTCTTCTTATCCATATTCATATTGGTACATGATAGTTGCACATAATGATGGGATCTGTTGATACATATTCATACATGTACACAATATGACAATATAATTTGGTCAATATTATTCCCCAGTATTTCTCCTTCCCCTTCCTTCCTTCCCTCCCCCTGGAGGAAACAGCTAAGAACATATAGAGGTGAAGCAGTACATTTTACAGTTCATCATAACCATGCTCACATTTTTAAATTCATCATGTTTTTGTTAAAGCTGTAAACTCTCTAGATGATTCTGATGACAAACCATACTGGAAATCCCTGGATTCATAAACACTCTTTGTGTTCCGGTGTGCTCTGCATCTGACCATATAGCAATAGCCCACATTACTCTATCTCATTCACCATCAAACTAGAAGATCCCATGCTACCCACTGCTATGAAGTGAAGATGAACTGTGAGCTACAGATCTGGCTGAAATATTGGATTTGATATAAAACTCTCTGATTTGAAAAACATTGGATTCTGGAATTCAAAGCATTTCCTGATCCTGTATATAGAGGTAAAGCAGAGACAGATTCAAAGAGAAAGGGGTGAAGAGCATGAAGGACATTATTATATCATCTTGAGTTTGTAGAGAATGATGTTTATAACTGTTTATAACTGCTTAAGAGTCAATATATTAACTCTTCTCCAATATCAGGCTAAGCCAACATTTTCTATAAATTCTGAGAGATTTACTTATAAATAAGTAGCCAATTGATTCCTCAGATATTTTAATATTTTTTTAGTTATAATAGCCAGGAATTGGATTATGTTGAGCTCACCCATAAATCTGAGCATCTTAATATTTTTACAATATTAAGTGGTCAAATAATGAACATAGTAAATGCTTACACTTATTAAGAGTTTCTGTAATTTGTGGCAGGGTTATTTGGAAGTTCCATTATAGAAACATTGTATGCATTCATTAAAGCTATTGTTACATTCTCAATATTATCTTGGTGCTATTTTACATGAGAGCATATTTAAATTTTATATCATTTGTAACTTCTTTCAAATAATATATTTTAGTATCAGGATACATAGTGACCTAATGGAGCAGAGGAAGAATGATATGATCTGTAATCACTAAACAAAAATAAATGTCTGATATAGTGGTAAAAGAGATAGGAGGCATCAAACAAGATGATATACCAAATATAAAGTGTTCCGTTTCACGGCAAAAAGGGTTTGATAATTGTTAAGTTAAAGAAAGAAAAAGAAAGAAAATTTAGTTAAGTACTGCCATATTTGCTCAATAAGTATCAAAAGAGCAGCCAAAAAACTCACTGTTCATATGAAATGTTAAAATAATATATTTAAAGAATTAGAAATAATTCATTATTCAAAACATCTGAAACTAAACATGATTTAAGATGTATTGAGTATTTATAAAACCAGATCATATGCTGTTATTATATGCTGTGTATATATACGTGACTGCATGACCAATGTGATTCTTCAACTTGTACACTCAGAAAAATGAGAAATTATACCCCATTTGATTTAAATATATAATATGTCAAGATCATTGTACTGTCATGTGTAACTAATAAAAAATGCAGAAATTGGCAATAATTTACATATTTCAGAGTATGTGCATAATGTGAACATAATGAAATTACACAAAAGAAACTCAACACCTTTAAAGTTCACAATGCACTATACATAAACCATGAATTAATGAAAATGGAACAAATTGCAAAGTATTTTAATCTGAATATTATTATAAACTTGATATATCAAAACTTGTTAGATACAACTAAATTAGAGGGGAATTTCTAAAGCATATATATACATTAAAATAGAATAAAAAATGAAGTATTGATCAGGCATGGTGTAATCCCAGCAGCTCAGGAGGCTGAGTTAGGAGGATTGGAAGTTCAAAGCCAGCCTCAGCTACTTAGCTAGGCCCTAAGCAACTCAGTGAGACCCTATCTCTAAATCAAATACAAAATAGGGCTGGGGATATGGCTCAGTGGTTGAGTGCCCTTGAGTTCAATCCCTGGTACCCTCCCTACCAAAAAAATGAAGTATTGATTCAAGTTTCTACTATATAAAGTTTAGAAAAGAACAGGAACTCATCAAAGAAAAGTGTAAAGAATAAAATAAAGTCATTGGAAAATTTTTAATGAAAATAAATACACTACTTATAAAATCAGCCTAATTAAAAGTGAGTTTACCTAAATTGATTGATAAACAAAATTAGAACATTTCTAGAATGAGTGCTTAGTAATGAACACAAACAAGAAAACCCCCATAATTTATAATTATTATAAAAAAACTATAGTATAATATTTAAAATTATTTATTAAGTAAATGTTTTAAAAAAACTAGTGCAGTGTATTTGATTACTTGGAAAATGGACAAATGTGTTGAAATTTCAACTTAGGAAAACTGTAAGATAAAATTCTGATAAGTGAGACCTGTGAAATAAACTGAAACAATTATTAAAATTTCTTACATAGAGAAAACCACATGTCTAGGTTATTACACTGGTGCAAACATTCCAATATTTAAAGTAATTTTGTGTGATATATTTCAAAATGTTTTTTAATATTTCTGTCATTATGTGTGTGTGTCTCCTATTAACACAATAGGAGACAACATTTATATTTTTATGATCTCCCAAAGCATAATCCTGCTTTGAACTCCATGCTAATTCACAAAAGATTAAAGAAATTTGAGATATCAAGATGTGCATTGTTGTAATTTGAATGCATAACTAGAGCTTGTTTTATAATTGATATATTGTAAATAGTTAATATGAGCATGATAATAATATTGTTCATCAACTAATTGATGTTTCAGCCAATTTTACTATGAGGTAGGTAACATTTTTATTTCTTTTATATCCTTACAAAGTTAAGACACGAATTAAGGTATGTTACTTGCCGAAGGGTATAAATTAATACATGATGCAGTCATAATATGAACACAGGAACATTAAGAAATACCAAGTCTGTTTCTCTCAAGGACTGGTACTGCGACTACAGACCAGCTAATTGTGAGCTGCTCTAGCAAATCTGCTGATTTGCATAATGGTTGATGTAGATAGTGTTTAATTTTAGTAATAGTATCAGTTTTCTTGACAATTTCACAAAAAACTGAAAAATCTGACAATAATAACTTCTCTGTTCACCTGTGTCAGGAATCATTTTGATGTTATTAAAGGTTGATGAACTTAGGCAGGGCTTGCTCTCTTCAAACTTTCACTCAGCTAGTTTTACTCTTATATCAACTTGTCTAAATAATCAAGTTTTCTGAAAATATTTAAGTTGGCTAAACATTTTTATATAAAATACATTTATAGTTTCGAAGAAACAAGTAAGGGTGAATATAGTTACTGAAGATGCTAGAGCTGAAGAAATTATGGTTTCAAGGCTAATAATGAATTTTAAAAAAAGAAAAGAAATACATTTATAGTATTTGAAAATAAAGCTTAATAAATATTAAATTGAAACAAATTTTACTTAATTGACCCAGGTCAAACAATCATATAAACACCAAAGGGATATCTAAACTGGAAATCATAGGTATGGAGCACCCACATGTAAATAAAAAGAAAAGTGAAATCCTTCCAGCAACCATGTTTCTTTGTTGTTGTTTTCTTTTCTTTTCTTTTCTTTTCTTTTTCTTTTCTTTTCTTTTCTTTTCTTTTCTTTTCTTTTCTTTTCTTTTCTTTTCTTTTCTTTCCCTTCAGAAGCTGAATAGAGGACATGTCGACAAAAAATCATTCCACAGTGACTGAGTTCATCCTGGCTGGACTCTCACAGCAGCCAGAGCTCCAGCTGCCTCTCTTCCTCCTCTTCCTAGGGATCTATGTGCTCACAGTGGTGGGGAACCTGGGCATGATCACACTGATTGTGCTCAGTTCTCACCTGCACACCCCCATGTACTACTTTGTCAGCAGTCTGTCCTTGATTGACTTGTGTCATTCCACTGTGATCACCCCCAAAATGCTGGTGAACTTTGTGCGCGATAAGAATACCATTTCCTACCCTGGATGCATGACTCAACTCTACTTCTTTCTCATTTTTGCCATATCAGAGTGTCACATGTTGGCTGCAATGGCCTATGACCGCTATGTGGCCATCTGTAGCCCACTGCTTTACCATGTCATCATGTCCTCTCAGACTTGCCTTTCCCTGATTTTAGGGGTGTATATTATAGGTGTGGTTTGTGCATCAGCTCATACAGGCTGCATGATTAGAGTCCAATTCTGCAAAATTGATGTGATCAACCATTATTTCTGTGATCTTCTTCCGCTCCTAAAGCTCTCTTGCTCGAGTACCTATGTCAATGAAGTGCTGATTCTGTTTTTTGGCACATTTAACATCTTTGTCCCCACCCTGACCATCTTCAGCTCCTACATCTTCATCATAGTCAGCATCCTGCGCATTCGCTCCTCTGAAGGCAGAGCCAAAGCCTTCAGCACCTGCAGCTCCCACATCTCTGCTGTTGCTCTCTTCTTTGGATCTGCTGCATTCATGTACCTGCAGCCATCAGCAGTCAGCTCCATGGACCAAGGAAAAGTGTCCTCTGTGTTTTACACCATTATTGTGCCCATGCTGAACCCTCTGATCTACAGCCTGAGGAATAAAGATGTTAGTGTTGCCCTGAAGAAAATACTACACCGAGAAACTTTCCTGTGAATAGAAGTAATCTGCGGGATTATTTATCAGATCTAATTCATTGATGACCACATGGTGTGAAGTAATGTTTAGTCCATTTGTGAATATCCTTAAATATTTCTAGGATTTTTATGTTACTTCATCTTTTTATAGTCCTTTGAGTGCCATTTTCTAGGTACAGTTTTATCTCATATGTATCACAGAGGCAAAGATTAGTAGAAATGCTCACGGTGGTGTTTATCCATATATCCATTAGTACCAACCCCATCATCTTCTATATCTTTTATATAATTGACCAAAACTCAGTTTATGAAATGTCCATCTTCCAAATGTGATTATCGACTTTCTTTCTTCAATATATATGAAACTGAATAAAACTTAAAAATATCATGGCTATAATTCCTTGTTACGAAGACATTGCAGCCTGAAAAATCTCTTTCCTGTCCTTTTCTTTCATATACCTTATTTATCCTGTTTATTCTGTATTACTTCAGAAATTTGAATAGTACTTTAAAATCTAAGCTACAAATGGATATATATGTTCAACTTGTGCCCAATCCAATATACACACTTTTTCCCCTTTTATTCTAATTTGTTCTTGCCTGCTTATATTTTAAACTGATCAGATTGAGATCTCCATGTAATTTCCTCTGTTCATACAGCGATATCTCCAGGATGTAGAAGAGCCACTACCACCCATTAGTTCCTTGATAATTTTATCCTTTTTTCTGTTTTGAAATATTTCTAGGAAAACCATATATATCCTATACTATCTACATCCATTAATATATCATTAATCTCTTTAAGAAATTACATATGGCTTTTGTTTAAAATAAAACTAAATATTATCTAATAGATATTTTGTGTTCAAAATCATTATGTTTCATTTTGGAAAATTCTTCAAATATCTATGAGATAATGATGACATTCTAACCCATCATACACTTTATAAGTCTTAGTCTTGAGTTTCTTCTGTGGCAGGATTTTAGTACAGGTGTGACCACTGGTCAATTAACTGATTTCTTCATTCATTTAATCTTGTCAACAAAGAAGGAGTCCCTAAAGCAATGCATATTTTTTCTTTTTAAAAAAAGTTTTGCTAATTTTTACAAATTAAATATATTTATTTTATACTTTTAAACATACAAAAATGAGAGTATGGTACAGTGAATATCCATATACACACCAGTTAGATAAACAATTTGTTGTATATGCTTCATATACAAACACACTTGGAGAAACCATTTACAAATATTTTAGAGCCACTATAACATTCTGTTCCTGAATGCTTCATAAACTAATTAAAAGACATTGTTCTATAAACAAGTTTTATCCCAATTCACAAAATCCAGAATTATCTAATATTTAAGATACAATCCATATTCAAAATTTCTTCATTGCCCTCAATTCAAGGTTGTTATAAAGGGTTTTCAAACCAGAGTGTATTCAAGCCTTTTACACTGGGGACTGAAGACAGCTCAGAGGTAGTGCTGGTGCTTAGCTTGCACAAGGTTTTAATCCCCAATACTATAAAAGATCTCACATTATGTTAATCTGTTATGTCTCTTAAGTAACTTTTAATCAATAATAGTTACCCAACCCAACTCCTTTTTTTTTCTTGACCCTGATAGTTTGAAGAAACAAAGCCAGTTATCTTTCATAACATTTTGTATTCTAAACCTGTTTGACAGCTTCTTTAGTAATGTCATCGAACTTGTTGCTCCATCTTCCATACTCCTTGCAAATGGGAAATCAGACTGAATGACTTGATTAGATTTCAGTTAAACATTCTTGACAAAGACACTTCATATATAATGCAGTACACTTTATATTGCATCACAAATTTAAAAGCTGCCTGGTTTTCTGACCACTGCTAGTAAGTAATGCTAAAAGTGTCACCAAATCTTGAGGATTTTTTCTTGTTTTTGTTTTTGTAAAAGTACATTTTGTCTGTGTGACCCACCAGCGCGTTTGGTGAGATGACATTCTGACACCAATATAATTTTAGTGGGGATGTAGATCAAATTTTTATCGGATAGTTTGGGCATCAAAATACCTTTAACTTTTCAACTTTTTACATTTCAATTTTTTAAAATATTCAAAAAACATCAGTTTCCCACAAATCATAAAATTTATTCAAAAGTAAAATTCAATTTTATAATGATAGCAGACTTACTCTTTAATTGAAATGTGAGCACCTTGCTTCTTTTTTGACTTTGTCTGAGACCCCATGTAATAGCCAATATGATAGCCACTCATTTACCAAGAGAGTAACATAGTTCCCAAAGCAGCAGAATCATCAAGAGACATCTGGACATATTGGAGGTGGGGATGGGGTGGAGAATTATTGATGGGCCTGAAGGAAATGTAGGTAACCAACATGAAGTGGTGGTGAAGGTGGTGGTGGGCTACTGAATTTTAGGCCTGGCTTTCCTGGTCCCAATCCTGACCCTGGCATTGGTAGTAGTGGAATAAGGAAATAGTTCCATGGAATTGCTTTTGACTTGATGTTATTTGATTTATTTCCAGGAGATCTAGAGGAGTTTTCACTTTCATCTTCAGAAACTTGACTTTCATTTTCATTCTCCTGAGCTTTCTGTTCTATATTATTACCTACTTCAGAGGTTGGGGAAAGCAGATCCGACAGATTTTTCTCTATTTCCATATCCAGTGTAAATCACGATACAGTTTTCTCTCTTAAAAATCAACTGAAGCAATGGTAGCTGGTAAATATAGCCATCTTCTGACCAAATGGCAGAACACTTGTCACCAGCTTTCCACTGTTTCAGGGAGGTCGAAACAGTCTTCCGGCTTTTATTCTTCTTAAGAGGTTTTCACCTAGATTTGCCCTTTGGTTTATCTGAAGTTTCACGAATGTCACCATTCTTTAGAGCATGCTTGAAGGAAGCCACAGCTTTATCATAAGCTTTTTTTCCCAAATGTCAGAATCATTACTCTGGCCTGTGACACTCTGGAACAGCACTGAGTCTTCCTGCTCTGGGACACTACTGCTACTGCTACATATTTTTTCTTGATTTTCAAGTACATGACACAGGGAGGTAAAAGAAAAAAAAAAGTATATTTTACACCTGATTGGTCATGCTAGTGAACCTGGTGATAGAATGATAACTAGAATAACCCAGCAATTCTTCATGCCCAGAACAGAACACAATTCTGCCTACTCTACCATCAAGAAAATTATTTCATAATTTAATAATATATAAAATATACAATAATAAAATTGCTAAAAGAGAAAGTATATCATATTATTATATACAGTAACCTATATTACTATAGCCAGAAGATGCTTTGTTCTTTTTTGAGGTGAGGTTAGATATGTTACTTTGCTCATATTAAAGATAATGTAGCCTACTTTATCTACACATGACTATTCTCAGACTCTTGGTTATCCAAACTATGGTTTGTTCACACTTTTAGTTGAAGGGAAGATAGACCATCATTCTAGAAGGCTGTCTGCAGAAACTCTAAAATTATATCACATATCAAATTAAGCACACTAAAATGATTGGCAAATGCTCAATTGGTTGTGGACTCTGTATTTGAGCCTAGGTGGACCCTACTATCAACCTATTTCTACCACTTGAAGCTGAGTTAAATGATTTATTTAAGCTATTGGCTTATTTACTGTGACTAGTGTATCAGAAGATAATCAGTAAAACAAAAAAAAATGTACAGAATCTGCCTTAAAAACCTGTCTCTCAGGGATATAGGTATTTAAAAACTACTTCCTCAGGAAAATCATCTTTGAAAATCAATCTAAATTGCTTTTCCTTATAGTCCCTCTACTTTTTTTCTAGGAGAAATGGCTATTTCCTTTTATACTATCCTGCTTCTGATTATAATATGATCATTTAAATATTTACTCTTTATATTTTCCTGGCTTCAATGAACCGTAAGTTCCATAGAACAGAGATATTTATTGATGATCATGCAAGAATCTCACGGTTTTCCATGTCATATTTTCTGACTGCCTCTCATTTCAGCAGAAGTGAGGCACATTTTTTAGGCCTGTGCAAGCAAAGACCCAGCTTGCATTGAGGGTGTTTCACTTGAAATTTGCAACATGAGCTTTTCACTTTCACTCTAGAAACTCCTCTACAGATCAAGTGCTCACTTGGCCTTTCCACAGGTCAGCCCCTGGGTTTCTTGCCCTTGTACTTAGCCTTACCAGTGGGGCAGAACACTGTTTAAACTCTCCATCTTCCTGTCTCTAAGAGAAAATATCTAGGGAAACATGTGTGCACCTATCAGAATGTGCTGGAAAAAATTAAGCCACAATTGCCCAAAGGTGTTCTCTGCATCTATTGTGAAGCCAGTGAGAAAAGGACCAAACTAAACATTAAAAATAAATCAAAATGGCAGAGAGTAATAAAGATCTTTCTATAATATAATTTTTAAAATTTTCTCCCTTATTTTTTCTGTCATGCCTTTATCATTCAAAAGTTCAATTTCCAGATGTATTTATAGTATCTTCAGGGTTCTATGAAGTTGATTTATAATCTTAAACTGTTATGACCTTACAAGATGCAAATGATTACATGATTTTTTGGTATTTTCTAAGAGTTGCTTTGTGACCTAAAATATGGTCTATTTTGGAGAAAGTTTCAGGATTCACTAAGAAGAAATTGTATTCAGCTTTTATTGGCTAAAATACTCTGCAAATGTCTCTTGAGTCCATTTGATTTATATTTTTCAGGTTCAAAGAATCTTGACTTAATTTATGTATTGATGACTTTAACAAATAGTGGGAGATGTGTGCTAAAATCACTATCAATATTATTGAGCTAGGGTCTACTTTAGTCTTCTACTAGAGTCTCTTTTATGTAATTAGGTGCACCAATGTTAGGGGCATAAATATTTGCTATCATTATATCTTCTTCTTGTATCATTCCCTTTACCAGTATGAAGTGACCTTCTTTGTCTCTTCTGACTAATTTTGGCTTAAAGTCTGCATTTTTGGATATGAGAGTACATATTCCTCCTTGTTTGTGGACTCCACT